GAACTCGTCTCTACAAATTCTCATTCCGAGCCGATAACCATTACACCCCAACGCACAATTTAATTAGGCATACGTAAAAGCTTGTACATATATTTTATAGAAAAACAATATACATAGAGTTTCCAATAATGAATTTAATTTCCTTTTTAACAGTTCATAAAGATCATACGAAAATTGCTTTATGCGTTCTGAGAATTTACTTATTTCATAGTCTAGCATAAAGTGAAGACAAGAAAGAAGCCGTGAGGATCGAATCCCGATATTAGCGAATGTGATTACTTTAAAATCTTCAAAAATTCTTGTCTTAATTCCAAGATATACAGAGGGCATCGGCGAGAAATTTTTCAACCCTCTGTCGTATACTGAGGCAGTTAAGTATGAGTATATAAGAGATAATTACGAAGAAACAGATCGATTGTTAGAAACAGAAAATATATTGGTCTGCCCAGCATGAGTGCGACTGATAACAGTCCAAAAAGATAAAATATTACCAGACTCAGATAGATATATATATATATATATATATATATATATATATATATATATATATATATATATATATATATATATATATATATATATATATATATACACAGACAGACTGTTACGCTTTATCACAGCTCTTCCGTGTGGCTAGACGTCCGATTGCTTCAAGCCGGGATCGAAATTCGACCGATTTGGCATCAGTCAGAGATCCCACCCTAAGCTGTTTGCGCACGGCAGGAAGTAAGGGAAATTTTTTTATGTTTTCTGTACGAAATACGCCAGTAGTCAAGAGAGCTCGATTCTTACTTGAGGAACAATGCATTAAAAGCAGCAGTAGCCACTTTTTTTTAAATTATCCTTTTCCACCAGAGCTCTATCGGGTCTCCGACAGCATATAGTCATCCACAGACACATCCACATATGTACACACACACACACACACACACACACACACACATATATATATATATATAGAGAGAGAGAGAGAGATAGATAGATAAATAGATAGATAGACAGACATAGAGATAGATAGATAGATAGACACAGAGATAGATAGACATAGAGATAGATAGACATATAGATAGACATATAGATAGATATGAATATGCGCATGCACAGAGTGAAGTCAGACGAGTGAATGGATATGTCTAGAGGGGAAAAGAAAATAAATGAAGAAAGCCCATATTTGAAAAGACCAAATTTCAAAAGAAAGAAGGAAAGACAAAGAAACAAATGTACATTTGATTTTGACAAAAACAATCAATTATATTGGTAAAATTTCCCTTGATTCATCTTTCTGTTTTAATCATTCGTTCGCCATTTTTAAACTTGAAATTTAACTTTTTCTTTTCTCAGTTAAAATACTCATCCATCCGTGTTTCCACCATTTAACAAGTTCAACTTGGCTTCATCACGAAAAACTAGAAAAACAAAACGAACCATATGTCAAATAAAAAAAAATAATTTTTTTTTTGTTCTCGTAAAAATCTAACATCAAGTTGGTTATTTTAAATTGAGATTCGAGTGTTCATTCCTTTTTGGACGTCACTGTAGGTAACCTGCGGCTTCTACCAAGTCTGGCATTCTCCTCCTACGACCTTTACTCATTACACAGTCAAATATACAGAAAATATTAATCTCAAGTAGATATTTATCTGAACACTATTCAAACAGGATGTAGCACAGGACCGAAAAAAAGTGGGAGTCCCAAGCGTAGGTGGAACTGGGTATAACATTTTCCAAGAAATCTCGACTTTTCCTCACTTCCACCGGTCTAAATCTAGTCATCTCTCATGGAGGAGGTATAGCTTGTAGGGGACTCCACTCCCAGTTGAGTACTTTATACTTTATTTTAAACCCGATGGGTTTTTGTTAGTGTCATATTGAGCCAGAGTAACGGTACCATACAGGATAAAATGAGATTTTTCCCAGATTTGCAAGACAGCCATTGTCAACCATTTTTTTTATCGGCATCACCCCATTCAAGGCAGTAAAGTCGCTAAGATACAAGGGGTTGCAGTGTGTGAAAGAATTAGGAACAGAAACATTGATAATGAGAGGGAAGAGGAAAGAGTGATTAAGAGGACAATAGATAGCGACTGACATTGCATTCTTCTGTCTTCTTGATTGCACTTCATTTATTGTTCTCCTTCTATAATAATGTTTCCCATTGTTCTCATTATTCCACACTCAGTATCCACTTGTGTCTTAGTGACTTCATCGCCTTGCCTGTGGTGAAATAATTAATACATGGTGCGATGGTTAAATTGTCATCATTTTCTATATTTGATTTCGCGCATACGCGTTGTTTGCTTTTGATTTTATCGACTGAACACTATAGTAGGGTCAGTGCCGTCTGTGAGAAAAAGAGCACCATGACATATTTCACTCCGCCAGAAATTTGCAAAGGACATGCGGTACTGTTTGGCATTCACGCTGGAATCTCCAATACGAACATTTCAGAGTGTTTGGGTGTCAGTCTGAGGACAACGCGGAGGTTTTGGAAAGAGTTGGATGAGTCTAATGGTGATTACGAAGGTGTTTGGAGTGATCAATAGTAAGGGAGACGTTACACAGGGCCTCAGACACAAGACGGAGGCCTGAATCAAGATCCTTAATAAGGTAGTGCTGCCCTGGGTCAAGAGAGTGACTGCTGGAAGACTTGATGTCTGGCAACAGGACTCTGCACCAAGTCACACAAGCGAGAGAACTCAGTCATGATTTTCAGACAATTTCTATGACCATTTCACTCTTTAGATCTGACCACCTAACTCCTTAGTCTAAAACCTCCTTGATTATTATATATGGGGCGCAGTTGAGCAAGGGACCAACAAAACTGTTTGTAACACCAAAGATGAACTGAAGGCGAGGATTATGGCAGCATTCACCAATTGAAACAAGGAGACCGTCCAGAAGAGTTGCAGGAGATTCCGAGTTTGAGGACCGTGGTTGAAATCAATGGCGATTTTGCGATTTTATTGAATAAATTTACTCGTTAGTATTTCAAGATATTTTGTGTAATTTTGATAAATATTTGTTAAAATGAGATGTCAGTGTTATTTTCATTTTTCCGTAATTTAGACGAGAATTTATCCATCGCACCCTAAATTATATATATATATATATATATATATATATATATATACAGAGAGAGAGAGAGAGAGAGAGAGAGAAGAATAAACTGATATAAGAAAAGGTTTAAATAAATAGATATAGCAGAAGAAGTGTTGCTAACTTTTTGTAATGGCTTCAATGTTTTCAACGGTGATATTAATTCGGTTTGTTTTTGCTCGTGCATCCAATTGATGAATGTACGTCGCTCCACATGGTCAGCAGGTTTCAGTTCTTCTGTCAATTGAATTTTGTAATCGCGTAGAGACAAATCTTTTGTCAAAATTCGATGTAACGTTGTTGTGAAGAGGTTCAATTACTGCGCGCGATGACGAATAGAGGTGTCTGGATTTTCCTCCACACTGTCGTGCACTGCAGCAATGGCTTCAACTGAACGGCGTAAACGAGCACGCAATGATGTTTTCACATCTGCCAAAGACCCAGTTTGTTTGAATTTACGAACAATTTTTCCAATTGCACTCTCGGTTGGTCAATTATATTGACCAAAATAATCGCGATGTGCGTGAAATGCATTTCTATTTGAACGTCCATTTTCGTAATAGGTTTCGATAAATTTAACACGTTGTTTGTTTGTTAATCTTTCCGTGTTTGAAACTGTCAAAAACTTAAGTTGTTAAATCTGAAAGAAAAAAAAATGAGACTATTAAACTTAATCAGTCCAAGTTATTGGAACACTCTATATAACGTTTGATTCTGGTTATATTTCAATTTACTTTATCAATTAATGGTAAGTAATTTTTAGCTTTACCTTATCTGTTATAGAGGGAGAAACCTGTAGTTGTTGCGTAAAAACGAAGGGATGCAAACCGAAATTTAGAAAAATGAAATTACTCTATATTTAATTCGCAACCTGCTTTGATTCATATATTTTACACATCTAGTGTTCTTCCTATTGAATTATCACAATTTTGCACTTTTCTCTTTCTGATGCTGATATGCGTTTCTGAACAAAAATGATCCAACTGAATATATATATATATATATATATATATATATATATATATATATATATATATATATATACGTATTAGTAGAATGTAGAATCTGAACAAAAGTGGAGAAAACAAAGCGGAAAAAGCCGGAAGACGCCATCCTAGAAAACAGACACTAACGGCTTCAATAATAAAAAACACACAAGCGTTGTCAATAAAAATGTTTACCTCTCTCTCTCTCTCTCTGTATATATATATATATATATATATATATATATATATATATAAGTGGACATCGACACCCAGCGGCAACAGTCTGTTTCATACTTAAACGTATTTGTAAGGCCATGTGCATTATGTCTTGACTCGACTATTTATATATGCTTGTCAATGGTGACTTATGGATAGGTTTACTGTAACAGTGTGAAAGAGACTTTTGGGTCCTAGTGTTGATCTCCCTGTTCACTTTTATATTTACATTCGCTCTATCTCTTATATTGAGAACTTTTAGCCATAAATATAGCACACTTTTAAACTATATTTTTAATCATATAATATATATATATATATATATATATATATATATATATATATGAAGAAATATACTCTGAAGGTGTGCTATATTTATGGGTAAAGTGCTCATTATCAGAGATAGAGCGTGTGTAAATATAAAATGGACATTGAAGTTAACACTTAGAGACATATATATATATATATATATATATATATATATATATATATATATATATATATATATATATAAGTCCCGCATATATAAATAGCCGAGAAAAAAACAACACTCGTGGCCTGACGATTGCGTCTAGCATGAAACAGCCTGTCCCTCTATGTGTTGACTTTAATGTCACATTTATATATATATATATATATATATATATATATATATATATAGATAGATAGAGAGAGAGAGAGAGAGAGAGAGAGAGAGAGAGAGAGAAACACCCGTTCCTGTATGATTTCCGATGTTAAGCAATGTCGAGCCTGGTCAGTACTTAAAAGGATGTCTACTTGGGAAAACCTGGTGCTGTGAATTCTGATGTTCGGTTGGTGTAATGGTTAAAGGCTCGGAATTGTTAATTGGAGGGCCGAGTTCCAGTTCGTGTCGGGTTCGGTATATTCACTAATGCGCAAAAATGCCTTGAGGAGGGCATTAATTTACCTCTTCTCCCTCAAATGTTAGAATTTTTATCTCTCAAGAAATTCTTACAATCTAAAAAGATTTTCTAGCTTTAAATAAAGTGCAAAATGTTAATAAGCCGTAAAAAACGAATCACTATATTGGGTTAGGATACCATTAAATAATGAATGCAACACAAAGTTAATAGCATGTAAGGCAGAATTTAGGAAATCAATTGGATATTATTTGCTCGATATCAATAGACAGAGCATTAGTAATAAAAAATTAAATTAAATGTTTGCTTATCTTGTCGATACTCTGGGTATCACGGAAATACATTCACCTTTCACGAGACATGATTAGAAAATTTGTATAATCAAGTCTCCTGAAAGTTGGATGTCATTTTACAAACTTCAGAATTGACAAAAGATAAGCGAATATTTAATTTTATGATTTTACATATATATTTCAATTAATCACTTACAATTATGCACACAAGGGTAAATTTGTATGTTTCAGTTTCGAGTTGCGCAATGCAGGGCCTAAAATTACGCCATCCGTGTCACCCTGGAGTAAAACTTTAATGGGATTGGTTTAGCTAATAGATAATTAGCATAAAGAGAGCTATGACTATAACTCATGGGCAACTTTGAGTCAGTGTATGTAAAATATCAATGGCTATTAAGTTTGATCATCATAACAACTGTCTCCAAAGTAGACGACACATACCTGGTGGATGCTTGCTGGACTAAGGGCAATAAGAGCGACCAATATTAGACTATATATTAAGCTATAAACGCGACCAATATTTACTTACAGGCGCAAGTAAAAACACGAATAATTTTAACTTGAAGAGTCTGTTATAAACGCTACTATGCATACGGTCCAATCAGGCTGAAATCGCTGGCTCTTGTTCGATCACCGTGTCAGCAATTAGATGGGGGACTATTTGGGGACACCAAATACTGTAATCAAACCGAAATATATTTTGGCTTTAAATAACCCACAAACGCAATATTATTAGTATTGACCTGGCCTCTTGGCTTAAGACACTTTCCTGTCGCCCTAATGTAGCTTGCCGGTGTCTTTTCTATAAGTAATTTCATGGTAATCGTTCGGATGAACTTTCGTCTATGGTACCTAGACTTTATGAATTTAAGCGCACAACTAGATTGGCAACAAGTTCTCATCAATTTACAGTTGAAATGGCGAGATGTAACCGCAAGTTCTATGCTAACAGTCTCTTCTCTCGCAATTTCGGCTCAAAACCTATCAATCAAAGTTTGCATATATATTTAACTATATACATGAACAATGTTTAACTAAAGACGCAAGTATAATAAAAGAAATTTCGACATTAAATAACACAGCAACGGCCCATATTTTATAATATCCATGAGCAAAATTCAACCCTACCCTCACTCTAAATTATTACGAAAGTCGTTATGAGCTACTTAAAAATAATGATTACAATTATGTACAATATATAAGGCTAAACTAATTTTCCCACAAGTTTCTTACATATTTAGAGATTCACTTTTACGTACACATTTGCCTTTGTTTGTTTCCGGTTTTGGAGAGCAGAGAATTTAAAATTGAAAAAGTATTCATTAACTAATCACTTCCTGTTCGTTAAGTTAACGAAGGGACGAGAAGTGTTTGTAAGATTGTATTTGTTTATACACAACGCTCATTTTCTCTTTAAATAGTTATTTTCGAAGTCTAAAGTTAAAGTGGTTACTTGAGATTATTTGTTATCGGAAACGCAGATGATCCACGCAAAATTCTTGAAATCGTCATGGAATCCGAGATGTTATTTCTCAACACTTAAGTTATATAATCTCCACCGCATTAATGAGCCATTTCGAAAAGCTTAACAAGCTTGATCTCTAATTCTGATCGTAACCACACGGCGGCGAGGATTTGAGTTGAATAAATATCAACCTTAAGTATGTCATTAACAAAACACTTCAATATGGCAAGTTATAAAATCTACAGACCTGCTTACGCAAGTCTGAGATCAGAATATGGGGTGGGGGAAGAGTTACTAAAATATGCACTTATATCTATAATAGCAAAATTACTCTAGCATAAGTAGCATTTTAGTGGTAAGTTAGACGATTAAGACATACACGTGTTTCCCACCTGATTTATTTAACTTATACAGCAAGACGATCCAAAGGGAACTCCTACCATTTCACTTTCAAAATTGTATAGCGCCAATCAAAATTGTATAGTGCCAGTCAAACTGGAATAGTACCAATTAAACTAGAATAGTACCAATTAAACTAGAATAGTACCAATCAAAATGTTATAGTACAAATCAAAGTGGAATAGTACCAATCAAACTATAATAGTACCAATCAAACTAGAATAGTACCAATAGTGGAATAAAAGCATATTTTTTTTAAAAAATTGACAGGATCCACGATATAAAAATAAATATTTACAATTCCTTATTGGTATGGAGGCAAGATTGTTCAAAGTTCGAAAAAAAAACCCCAAAAAAACAAACAAACAAAAAAAACAAAACAAATTGAGTGGGTATTTCATCATAGGAAAAAAAAAAAAAGAAAGTTGCCACACTTTTTTGGAGAGAAAACATTTTCCATCCGAAACTGGCAGATGAAAACAGACAACAATAGTTGGGACACAGATAAAATAAAATAATTAGTCTCTCTCTGCAAAATAAAAAAAAAATGTAAAAATAAAATCGGGAATGGAAATCACGCAAGGAATCGAAAAGAATCTCTTGGACTGGATGCTGCAATCACTAACCTAGCTAATAATAAAAAGCTTAACCTGGGGTGAGTGCCGAAGCGAACTATGCCGACACTTCAAGGCTCAGAAATGCCACCCATGACCGGGGTTTCTTTCACAGAAACCAAATCCGCCCCATTTACCCAATTTACACAAATATCTGTTGTCGCTCCCGTATGTTTTTATTCCATTTTGATTGGTACTTTTCTCATCTTGAAAATGATATAAGACTTTTACCATAACAAGATTTAATATTGACAGATATAGACTTTACGACAAATGATAAGCAAATTACACTGTTTTCATGACATCCTCAGAAATAAAAGTAAAATAAAGTAGGAAAGAGAAATGAATAACTGCTAATTGTAAGAAATTTTATGGTTGTCAGCAAAAAAGTATCCCATTTTTTTAATGATTAATAAATCGATTCATTTTCTTTGAATTTGGTAGTTGGTCTTGATGTCAATGTCACTGAATATCATTGTTTTTTACTTTAGTGTGCAACCTCAATTTCAGTTGCACAGTTCTCAGAGTATAAATCTTCCTAATCTAGCATGTTTGCTTTTTAAAAAATTTTTCTCACCACGGTTGCTGCATTCATTTACAGTTTTATCTTTTTCACCTCAAAATCAGCATTTCCTGTTTTTCTAGATCTTGTAAATATTTACTGCCATATGTCGTATTTCCAGTCATCCAGGACGCCTCGGCTTCAAGCAGGCACTTTAATTTTAACATGGAAAACTTTGGAAGCAAAGAAAAAAAAACCTAAAATAAAATAAAGAGATAAAGAAGCATAAATAAAAACTTCTTTAAATCACCTTCAGTGGGGTAGATTTCCGAGATACATTATGTGTGATCAAAAAGTATCGGGACTGGTGCTATGAAAAAAAAAAACATCTTATATCAATCTGGCATTTAATCTCATTCGAATTAATTCCCTTCTGAAATCACACACTTTATCCAGCATCGTTTCCATTAATGGAAGTAATTTTTAGGAGGAATCGCCAACAGCTGCCTCGTCATATTCTCTTGGATTTCCTCGACATCTTGAAACCTTGTTTCTTTCAAGTGGGATTTGATATTTTTTTAAGAGGAAAAGGTGCAAGAAGAGAGATCTGGGGAATATGGTGGTTGTCGGACCTGGGTAATGATGTGCTTCGACAAAAACAGTTGCATAAGCCATGGTTACTGATGGAATCATTGTGGTGTGGTGTGGTCCCACACTCAACACACTTTCCTTCCAAACATTGTTATAAACAATGGAAGGAAGCGAGAACGTTAGAACTTAGTGTGTATGCGCGGCAAGGTTCAAGGTCAGTCCGTGCCGAGCGCTTCACTTTGCGTACTTTATCTTCGTTACCATGGCAACAGTCCTGATACTTTTTTTTCTGTGAACAATTTTCTTTTTTATTTATATTATGAATCTTCTGTTCCTGACCCCTTTGTATTTATCATTCATTTATCAATTTTCTTCATTTTTTTTTAATGAATAATAATAATAATAATAATAATTGTCGTTGCTTTCCACATTGATTAACCCCCTTTGTTTCCGGTCTGCCATTCATTCACGCCAAAATATTAGATAAGATAATCACAGTTATCTGTGTGGGTAGCGTAACGGTTATTAGCTTCGAAAGTGGATTCGCCGATCAAAGTTCAAACTTTTCCTAGTCTATTGTATTCACTTTCACACAAAGGCCGTTTGGAAAGTCATGAATTTATCGCTTCTCCCACCAGCTATGGGTTAAATAATAGGAGCGATTAGACTCTATAAACCTGATTGGCAGCCTTGAGAAGGACAACTCAATGTTCTTCATGACAGATAATAAAGAAACAAAATCTGTGGAGAGCCATGATCGTCTTCCCTTCTGAAGTATCATGGCGTTAAAAAATTCACTGCATTTCGCCTTCATTTCAATGGCTATAAATTAAATCAGTTTCTTGTGGCAGTTTCCTACATCCACGAAACACTGTACTTGACTACTCTGCTGTGTAAATAGCGCAATCAAATGTTGATTAGATAGAGTTAAAGGACAATAATCTCAGAAATAAAATCTAAGAAGAAAATCAAAAATTATTCTAGATAACAATTCACGCAGTGGAAATGTCAATTTTATTTTCAACGAGTGCTGACTTAACAAGGTCACAGCT